GCTGCTGCTCCCTGCTAGCACTGCCTTCACCCAGCACCTCATTTCCTTCCAACCTTGTCTCAGATGGGAAGCCATGTTTGCCCCAGTGCTGTGCATGCAAACCAAGTCCAGCAGTGCTGGCCACCCTGGGCAGGTGGGCCTTCATTTTTAGGACATCTTGCCCAAAGCAGCAAGGAGGACACCTGTGGGTTGTTGGCAGTGTTGCTGCTTTTCTGCTAGATGGAAAACCAGCTTCGCATCCAGCAGCGCAAGCCAGGTTTGAGATGCACTGGTGCACCCTTGTGACTTCCTCCCTGGGGCTGACAGGGACCAGAAAGGCCTTTTTCATCTCCTGCCCAGGGGGAGCATCTTGGCCACACAGCCTTGTTCTAGGGTGGGATGATTACAGCACTGAAAATGCGTCTGATAGACATGGCAGGAGCTCTTCTGGTCAAACTGTGTCCTTCCCTCTGTTCCACAGGAGAAGCTGGGGAGCCCTGGGGTGCCCTGTTGTCCCCTGAGGGGATGCAGCCATCCCTCCCAAAAGAGCAGGTAAGTCAGAGGAATCAAGGAGACCATCCCACTGGGAACTCTGAGGGGATTTGGGACTTGCTAACTTATCCTTCCACTCACTTAACTCTCAAAACTGCCCATCATGGTGCCAGCTGTGTTGCCTGATGGATTAGGGTAGTCCTCCGCAGCCTCCTACCTCCTACCTCCTGCCTGCTGTGGGTGTTACTTCTCCCCATCTGCTGTGTAAGGGATGCGGAGGTCCCTAGGGATGCTATCTAAGTCTGGCATGGTGGAATTCTGGCAGCAATCTAATAGTGCTTTGGGGTAGCTTCTCTGGGAACACCACATGGCAGCTGCATCTCCAATGCCAGGAGGGGTTAAAGGCTCAGACTGTCTCGGAGACCTCCACTGTTTCCTTGGAAGATGACAGCCGGCCTTCCTCAGAGAGCGTGGCTGAGGATACTGCTGAAGAGCTGGCATCAGCAGAGGCACTGAAGCTGGATGAGGACAAGGTGAGCATGCCAGAGCTGATGTGAAGCCTCATGCTGTGAGCTTGTCTGCCTCTGATGCTTGGTGTCTGCCCTGCCTCTGGTAGAATAGAGCCTGCTACCGGCAGGTATCTGGGTGGCCATGGCATCCTCCCCTTCTCATGCATTTCCACTATTTTCCTTTGTGACTACCTCCATTTCCCAGAACTCTGGATTCAGGTGGTTTGGCTGGTTTCGGTCGAAGCCCACCAAGGAAACCTCTCCCAGAGATGTGTCTGAGACTTCACCAGACTCCCCCACACCGGAACTGCAGGTAGGAGACAGAAGGCTGTCCGGTCCCTAAGTAACAGGGTACAGCCATGAGGATGGGTGACAAGGCTCCACCATTACCCACTTTGTCCTTGTGCAGGTGGCTGGGCTGTGCCATCGCACTCCTCTTCATGGCCATTGCTGCTCTATGTGGGAACAGAGCAGGACCAGGAGCCCTTTTACCCTGGAAGTCAATCATTGGTTAATAACAATTGTAAATTTATTAAACCCTTTTTGATCTGGGAGGTCCTCTGAGCACTTGGCAAACTCTGTGGAGATTGCTTGCCCTCCGCTGAAGCAGAAAGCAGCAGCTGCGAGAGGCATGGCTTGGGCAGGTTTTAGGAGCTGAAGGGAAGGAAAACCTCTTTAATTGGAAGCACAGCAGAGAGGGGGAAGCAGCCATGCACGGTTATCCCAGTCCTGGCTGAGTCCTCAGGGTGACATCCCTGACTGCAGTCCCAGAGCAGAAAATTTTGTGATATTCTTCCAAAACCAGAAGGAGATGAGGAGAAGAGTATGGCCCATGGACACTGATGGCCCCTTGCACTGTACACAGGCTTGGTGTCCAGCCTCCTGCCTAATTTTCACCTCTCCAGGTGGTTTAGGTTGTGACAGGGGTTGCTTGCCCTGACCCTGTAGCCCCTCCTTAGCTTGGTTGCCTGTAGCTCTTGGGGTACCCCATCCTGCTGAGTGGTACCCTGAAAATGTGGTGTGGTATTTGGTGCAGAAGTCTTCTCAGCATGCGAGGAACTTCTGCTTTACATGGGTGGCTGTGCTTTCAGGAACAGACATCACCATTCCCATCTGACACCCCTCTTGCAGCTCGGAGAGCCCCTTCGGCTCAGCCTCCCTCCAGAAACCCTGGTAAATGCCACATGGGTCCCCTTGTCCCTGTCCCTGTCAGCTTTTTAGAAGCTGCTCTTCTTAAGTATTGTAATTGTTGCATACCCCAGCAGGCTTGCAAGGGGAAAATGCTTTTGCTATTACTCCGCTGTCCATTGAGATGAAAGGATCATGGGAGTCAGCAGGAGAGCAGGTGAGGAGAAGAAAGAGGTATTTGTGTGTGTTAGGGGGGAGGAAAAGAGGTGTCCAGGACCCCTCTGTCTGTTAATTTTCTTTCCCTTCACCCTTTCCAGACTGGGTTCCATGAACATCCACCACCAGTGGGGGCAATCCCCCTGTTCAACCCTCTCCAGGTCTCCCAGGTGAGAGCATCCTTCCAAGGTGTTGCTGGATAGGGTTGAGGGTGACTCTTGGCTTTTTGGATGGTGCAGATTGCAAGCAGCCTGCAATGGGATGGGGATGCAGCGGGGACCAGCCCTGGGTAAGAGTTTGATTTATAAGACAATGAAGCAGGGGAGGACAGTGACAGGGAGGTGTGTGATGGAGAAGGAAAAGGTGGGGGTGATGCTGGTGGCTACATCCTGAGGACAACAGCTCCACGTTTTTGGGTATACCCCTCCCTAACACCATATCTCTCTCTTCCCAGCTCATTACTGCCTCTCGACCCACCCAACCCAGGCTGCTTTCCCAGTGGCGCTACCCCAACCCTCTCTGAAGCAGAAATCAATAGCAGTGACCATTGTGAACCAAAATGGTGTTTGTGATTATTTTTGAAGCAGGTCTTAGCTGGGCACAGTGGCCCAGCTGGGATGCTGCACTGGGAGACAGGGCCAAACTGGAGCAAGTGTGGAAGAGAAGAGCAGGGGTGGTAAGAGGTTGAGGGGAAAATGACCCCTGAAGAGGCCATGAGGTTGTTTTTTCTAGGCAAGATCTGCTGGGGGAGGATGGGCAATGTGATGACAGCCCTCTGGCACGCAGGAGGCTGTTTTTCAGGGGGTGGTGCCTGAGTGTCCCCACAGCTTCCACGGGAGCAGGAATAGGAAGGCTTAATTTGCAGCAGGGAAGATTTCACGTAGATACTAAGAAGAAACACCTTTAGCTGTAAGGATGTTAAGCATCAGGACAGTCCTGGGAGGCTGTGAAATCTTCCCCTTGGAGATCTGCAAGTGCAAATCAGCCAAACACGGGCACGCGGGATTTTCTTGTGCGTTGGCAGACGGATGAGGTAACCTCAGGTGTCTCCTGTCCCTGCATTTGTGTCTCCTGTGTGGTTGCTAGTGATGGTAATGCCTGTTGCAAAGTTGGGAGAGGAAACAGGCGGGTGAGCCCTTGCTGAAACCTTACCAGCTCCCATCCATGCTCGCCGGGTGGGTAAGGGATTGATGAGAGCCCTGGGAGCTGGTCTGTTTCCAAGGCTGATGGTGGGGATACCCTGTAAACCTGCGTGGGACTCAAGCTGGCTGTCAGGGGGCTGAAATGTCGTCCTTTTCCTTGGAGAAGGATGGTAATAGCAACCTCTTTTCTGATGTGAGGAGCATTTTTGACGTTGGCACTCTAACATGTGTGTGGAGGTTTCTGAGCTATCAAGAGGCTGTGTTGCACGGCATGGGCCACCACCTCTCTGTGGCAGCGCAGGAGATGGAATAAATCCCACACAATGTCGTCTGGTTGTTTGCCCAGGCTCTGCCGCCAGTGTGTTGGGCGGGTTAAAGGGTACGTGAGGCAGAAAAGGGTGTCCGGGGGAGAGTAGTCTGAATTGGGTTGTAGGGCGATGCCCCACCTCACCCATTGGACTCAGCAATCGCCGGCCGTGAGTCTGTCTCAAAGCACCGCGGGGCCATCGAGCATCCACCGGAGGTTCCGTGGGGGGCAGGACCCGCCCCGGACCCTGCTCGGCTTCTCCTGCCCAGGCCGGCCCTCCCGGCGCCCCCCCTTTCTGGTGGCTCACCCGCCCGTCGCGGGCGGGGCTCTGCTGGAGCCGCGGGCGGCCCTTCCCTCAGACCTTCCCCGAGGCGGGGCGGGGTGACGCGCACCCAGTGCGTGGCCTCGGCGGTGAGCTTCCCCCGGACGCTCCACGTTTTTCCCGGCAGCACTATATATGCGCGGGCAGCGCCTCTGCTTCTAGCTCAGGGTGAGCACCGCGGTACCCAGCGCGCACCGCGTTGCATGTTAATGTACACCCGCCCCGTCCTCGGAGGCGGAGCCGGGGGTTGTTCCCTCACCGCTTCCCCGTGTGGGCAGAAAGCGGTGGCCTTGCGGGGGGGCGCGGCTGTCGCAGGGCTGCGGGACCGGACTCACCCGTGACAGACGATGGGGCTCGGCCCTCCTTGTGATAACGGGTGGGGCCGAGACCTGCTTGCCGCAGGCTGTGGGCCCCGGCCCCCTTGTGATGGGCTGTAGGGCTAAGACCTGCTTGTGACAATGTGAGCTTTGGGCCCACTTTTGATGGGCTTTGGGGCCAAGACCTGCTTGTGGCAGGCTGTATGGCTGGGACCTGCTGATTGTGGTGCTGTGTCCCCATCGTGACAGGCTCGGAGGCCAAGGCCCGTTTGCAGCAGACTGTAGGGCCAGAGCCCATTCCTCACGGGCTGTGGGGCCAAGACCTGCGCACAGCAGGCTGTGGGCCCAGGTCCAGGCTGCCTGGGGTGGGGAGGGGGGGTGTATGTGCTATGAGCACTGGGGCAGTGAGCAAGCATGTAGGTATCTGACTTTAAAATGCATCCAGAAGTATGAGCATCTGTAGTGCTGGGGCTGTTTGCTTTTTAACAAAGGCTGCTGAGGGCAGTGCAAACTCAGGGCTTCTGGCTGGGCAGACGCTGCAAACACACCCTGAGAGCTGCTCACCATGCTCTCCCTCCATCCAGGGCTGTTTGGCTCACAGGGATACACAGGTGGAAGTGACCGGTCAAGCCTGGGATGCTGCGCAGGGTAAGTCTGGCTGACTGCAGCACACAATTCCAGTGGGTTTCCTGGGGATGGAGCTTTTAGTCCTGGGATCGTTCTGCCTCTGGGTGTGGGTAGGAGGGCCACCCGGCTGCACTGGGGCTGTAGTGTGTCCTCACAGCTCTGTTTGCTGTAGCTCTGTGCCCATACACCCTTATGTCCCTTAGTCCCAGCCGTAGGACGATTTGGGCAGCAGTGCTTGTGGGGTGACCTTCTGTGAGGGTGAACATGTTGCCATCTTGGCTTTATGCTTTTTGCTGTCCTCTGGTCTTTTGAGTTAGTTTAAAGGGGGTGAGCTGTATGTACCTCTCACCTTGGGCATTAAACATTTATGCGATTGAACATGGTCTCTCCTGTTCCTCAGGCAACCTCTTTTTTGGAGGGAAATGATAAGCACAGATGAGTTTCTGCTGGTATAAGTTTGCAGATCTGGCAAATGCTTTTAGAAATCTTGTGATTTTGGGATCACCCTGCATATCCTTAATTACTGACTCCATTCTTGATCCCCCAGAAGTTACAAGGAAACATGAAGCAAAGTTTTTCTGAAATAGCATGCTGCAAAGCCCCTTATAGGCAGCTCAGTGTGCAGCCATGGATGTGGGGGTACAGGAGTTTCCTTGCTTGCATGTGGCCTGTTGCACTATTCAGTCTCAGTATCATGGGGTTATGGAGATCCAGAGTCATAGAAGAATGAAGAGGCTGAATCAACCTTATCTTGTGCACATATAATGTGTGTGAGTTGGATATCAGTCTTCAGTGGAGGAGCAAAAAAAAAGAGGAGAGACTATGGGTGATGGTGACTTCTCACAGCAGGGAGGGCATCTTGGTTTTGGTGAGATGTGGTCTTCTATTAGCTTATTTCTGTGGAAATGTAGAGGTGGGATGGTTGGCTGCTCAGACTGGGATGGTTGGCTGCTCAGACTGGGATGGTTGGCTGCTCGGACTAGGAAGGTTGGAGGAGCTTTTTTCTGTGTGGCTTTGGTTGTTTCAGAGGTGGTAAATATCCTGGGTAATGGGTGCCTGCGAAGTTTGTCTGAGTTTCTTGTGGCCTCCCAGTGAACTCGAAGTAAACTGGGGCTGAGGCTCTCTTTTCCTTCTGCATCCTCTCCTGAGAAAACTGGAAATGCATAAACCTGATGCTAATTGTTACTCTGACTGATAACAGCAATTAGGGTCTGTAATTCGAGATCAAGTCTCTGCTATGTGGAGTGTTGTAACTGCTGCCTGGGGGAGCTCTCTGCGAAATACTCTGAGCTGGCATGCTTCAAGGATGCTCTGGGATGCTCCTAAATGCTACCAGCTTGTAAAGGGAGGTGTGCGTGTTTCCACTGAGCTGGACTAACTGTGCCCTAACGCCATGATTTATTTCAGAATCACACACCTAATCTGCTGGTGAGATCTTTGCTCCCTCACTTCCCACTGCATGGCACAACTGGCGGCACAACGGGCTGCCCTGCCTCTCAGGAAGGGCTGCTGCAAGAAGGCACTGCCTTTCCTGGCTCTGCAGTTCAGGCATCCACTTCCCAGATGCTTTCGGTCTCACGTGGGTCCCGCTGGGCATGGCAAGGCCATGCTCATTTAGAACTGTTATTTATTAGAAGAAGTGCTGGGTGATGACCTTGTCTCTGTCCCTTCAGCTCCTGGTGATATCTGTGACGCAGCTGGTCTTGGAAGGTCACTTGTTTCACCTCGCTTAATGATAACACTGTAGAAAGCAAGCTTTCATTGCTTGCTTGAGTGTCAATGGTACATGAATATTAATGAAACCTTGGTGGTCCTGTGGTGCTGTCATGGCTGCGGAGAGCTCATTTGGAGCTGCTGGGCAGTGCGCGGAACTCCGTGATGGAGTGATAATAAAGTGTTCATGAACTCTGCTCTGAGGTGCTGCTCAGGACTTTGAGCTTGCAGGCTCCTGGTGCAGCAGTATGAGACTGGCTTTTCTGAAGCTGGCTCTGCACAACAACATGAGCATCAGCAGGGGAGGGATGTTTTGAATGCTGCAGGTATGGGGGAGTTTGTTGGTTGCAACTTCAGCTGGCACATGGTCTGGTTAATGGAACCTAATGTTCTAAGGTGCTGAGCTGGGATTGGGGCAAGGGCAGATGCAATGCAACATCAATTAAAATGGTCTCTTTGGGCTGCTGGTAGTGGGTGGGAATTGCCATAAGGAATGTGATGGTGGTTGTTATATGCACAAGAGTAGAGCATAAATTGGAGTCTGCAGGAAGCGAGCTTTTGCTGAATTAATCCAGGCAAGTCCCTCCCAGATTCTGCTACCCTGTGTGGAAAAGTCAGGATTACAACTGAGATCTTGTAAATAAAACAGTTGGGTTTGGAAAAATGAGGCTTTTTACATACTAATCCGGAATATATTAAACAGTGCATGCTGCCTTTAATCAGTATATATTTAATATCCGGGCTTGAATGGCAGCAGAGTTGTTCCTCAAAAGATTAACATGGAGAGAGGACCCCAGATCTTGCTCTGAGTCCTTATGTGGCTCCTGAAAGGAGAACCCAGGGTTAAGCTGTATGTGGTAGATAGTTGTTAGCTCTTATTTTCTTACCTCTGGAGAATAATCTGCTTCTCTCCTCGAGTAGAACAGACTTCACTTGCTCTGCTTGTGCTTAAAGCAGTATCTTCTTCCCTTCCTACCTTGGGTGTTCCCTTGCCACAGAGGTTGAAGGAAGATCCTTCTGCATGGATTTCTGTTGGATCAGGGCCATAGGAATTTGGCAGTGTCTGATTATATAATGGCCGTTAAAATACATACATCCTTCCTAAAAACCTTTGTATACCGGTGCCTGTAGGAATTGTGCCTTGACCGGGTTTTCGCATCATGCTATATTGCTGTGCAGACTTTTGCTACACAGAGGGACCATTCCAAAATCCTCTGATCAAGAGGAGCACTGCCTTTCCTGCAGGTCCTGCCAGATGTGGCACAGCTGAGCTCACTTAGATCTAAAAGAGCACACGTGTTGGCTTGTGTCCTCTCCAAGCTTATGGCCGCTGCAGTCAGCTGTGTCTTAGCAGTGTAGAAAGCCTTCAGGGCCTGAAATCTACCTGCATTCTACAAAGTTGATCACCTCCTTCATTTAACTGTTAAGGACGAAATCCAAAGGTGGGAGCCAATGGCTGTGTGTTAATTCTTATCACCATGTCTGGCAGCCTGGTCAAACTGGCTTCCTTTTACAGTAAGCAAGGTATGAACAGATCAGAAAGCTGATCCTTCCCTCCAGTTACCCAAAAACTCACAGAAGAGCATGGCTGGTGTAGGAGTATCATGTGCCCAGGGAACTGGCTAATCGGTTCTGCAATTGGTTAGCATGGCCTTGGGAGGGTTGTGGCAGAAGTAGGAGGAAAAGGCACATTCACCAGGCAGGAAGACTAGGGCTGCCTTTGGGAAAGGTGCAGAATGGTTTCACAATTCCTCATCTTTGCTCCGACACACTGGAGATCCTTAGCCCTCTGATGGGTAGGAAAGACAAACCTACAAAGTGTTCTCTGAGCCTGTGCCCATGCACCAGTGTGTCAGAGAATAATCCATGTGAGTGAAAAACAAGAGGGGCTGCTGTACCTGTGAGCCCTGAGGGACATATGCCACTGCTCTTGGAGATTTAAAGCTCTGAATATTACCTTGAGGATGTGGATTATATTTGCAGAGGGGATAAAAAGAAAAAACTCCAACTGTTAGAAGGTTTTGGCAGTGTAGAGTGATGTGTCACCTTTCTTGACATGTTTGTCTTCAGTGGAGATTGTATCTAGTGGTAGGATGAAGAGATGTTACATACTGTATGGTGTTAATTATGAAGGGAAGATCACATGAAAATCGAATGAAATTGAAACCTTCTGCATTTGATATTCCCAGAGTTGAAGTCCTCGGTACATCTCATTAGTTTAAAAACCCTGATGGAGAGAGCTCAGCTTCGAACAGGAAATTGATATGACATTGAGACCTGGGAGAGGATTAGCTGCCTGCCTCTGAACTTGTCCAAAGGAGTTGAACATGTAAATGTTCCTATAGAACAGCTCCCTGCAAGAATACATGCTGGTTAATTAAGGCCCCTGGGACCACACAGCTGCAGTGAGGGAGGGGTAAAATCAGTCCGTGAAGTCTTGCTGCTGTGTTCTCTCTGCGGTGAAAATGCTGCATGAGCTATATAGGCAAGTTCAAAGCTTTGAGTGTGCAGGCTCTACTTAGGTGCTGGTGAAAGAGATGCTTTGTTTGTTATACTTCTCTGTGAGCTTTGCCGGCACTGGATTAGGATTGAAGTAAACAGGGTATGGTGTTCTGGGGCTAATGTGTTATCCCATCTGGTGGAGGTGTCTGCAGAGGGTGCGTGGCTGGGAAGTGAACCTGGGTTTCACTCACAAGTGACGTTAGGACTGTCTTTTGTGGCAAAGTGTTGGGTTCTGTTTTGGGCCTCTGCAGAGATGCTGAGGGCCTAAAGCTCAATACCAAAACACATCTGGTTTCTGTGGCCCATCATCTTTGTTCTAATGGTATGAAAATTGTGACACCAAGACAACACCCTTGCTGTATACAGAAAGCTGCAACTGGTCTTTTTTTAGGTTTGCCAGGGAATGAAGGCCATCAGATATACCATGCCTGTCAGTTCTTACCTGTGAGCCTATCTGCTTTGGGCCCTGCTGGGTTTACCATTCTGATGAAGCGCTTTTTGTAACAGCTATATGTGGAGAGAGGATATTTCCCATTTTTTCTTGCAAACACCAGCCGGTGCTGTGTGCACTCTGAAGGTGAGGTGCTGATGATGAAGAATCCATGACTTGGCAGCACACCACGTTTTCAGCAGTATTTTGCTCCTTTTGAAAACAAAATGTGTTTGGAACAACTGTGATCTCTGTGGCGGGTGCAGTTTGCAGACTACATATTTCTTGTGTGTTCAGAGGGCACTTACTAGTTGGGACACTGCAGTCGCTGGGCAGGATTACTGGAAGGAGAGCTAGTGGGACCCTTTACTTCCAG